TGTTTTTACCCTCTGATTGGATAAAGGTTCATGGAACTATTCAGGCACTTTACCTTAAGAGCAAATAGACAGAGAGGCTAGGAGTCTTTGGCTGGGAGGGATGGCTCCAAATCAGTGCTCAGGTGTCCTGAGGTCCCCACCAGCGATTCTCAGTCAACTTGACCGGAGTTCAAAGCAAGGACGGAAGGCTGTTTAGCTGGGTAACTTGGATAGTGCTGTTGTCACTGGGGACCTCTGAAGCTGCACCCAACGATGCTCAGGGGACTATGTGATATTGGAAATCAAATTCAGGTAGGGTGCGAGTTGATTTAGACATGTGCCATGACTGCTGTATCATTCTCCAGCTCTAGGGAGGTGTTTTGTGGGTTTTTTGTTTGTTTGTTTGTTTTAAATATCTTTAAATTCTGGGAACTTAGTTCTTTCTCCTCAGGTAGGTTGAGAAAGGATGAATTAGGTGAAAACACCAGTAAAAGTTTACTTATTTCCAGGGTCCAGAGAGATGACACAGAAGTTAGTATCTGACACAGACATCAAATCAGTGTCCCAAGTATTTCCACGTGCAGTCTGGTGCCCTGGAGTTTCCATGGCCTTGGGCCCTCAACCACAGCCTGGGTTGACTGGGAATTGTAGGAAGGTCCCTTGGGTGTCCTGAGCATCGCTTAACTCCCAAGATCAAAACAGAATTCATTTGTAGATGAATTCTTATAGGCCCTCCTGTTGATCATCGATTTGCTCGAGCGGGCCCAGTAACGTCTCCATTGGAGACTTTGTTGTTACTGTGTCTGGCTGGAGCGATAGCACAGCGGGTAGGGCGTTTGCCTTGCACGCAGCCAACATGGCCGACCTGAGTTCGATTCCTCCACCCCTCTCGGAGCGCCCGGCAAGCTACCGAGAGTATTCGATATGCCAGAATTCTTATAGAGTCACTCCAAAAGGATGGTATCAGTCATTCGCTAATCCCGTCTCTTCTTCCTGACCTCACTCTTTGGAAATTGTACTGGCAAACAACTTGAAGTTTGTCATCCTAATTCATTAGTTTGAAAGTTTAAATATAGGTGACGCTGATGGAGTCTGTTGCCTTGGCAGAAATCACTACCGTAATGATATCTTTGTCTAAAAGTTATATAATTGCTAGGCAATTCACTGGATCCTGTATGCTTCTAATTATCTGGGTTCAATTGAGAGGACATGCTGACTTCTAAGGACTTGTTGAAGGAAATATCTAGACTATGACTAATTAGAGGGCTCTGTAATACTTTCAATATTATAACATATCAGTCTCATCTCTACAGGGTATAAATTTGTCATGCGTCTCTTCTGCTAAGTGGCATTTTCAGATGGAAGCATGCATAACAGTGCTTATTAAGGGAAAAGGAGATCAATTTGGGTTCAAATCCTGTCTGCCTCAGATCATCTAAGTCACCTTGAGTGAGTTAATTAAACTTTCGGGCTTCAATAAAATGAGGAATAAAGATGATTAATTACACCAGTTGTTTTGATGATCAGATAAGCTCAAATACATAAAGAACCTTAATACAATGGTATTGTAGTTGTGAGGCTATTATTTTTATTATCTTTATTATTTTCATTTTCAGTTAATTAATTAATTTGGGGCACATCAGTGGTGTTTATAGACTACTCCTTGTTCAGTGACTCAGGGGTCACTCCTGGTGGGCTTGGAGGACAATAGGAGTGCTGGGAATTGAACCTGCTTTGGCTGTGTGCAAGACAAATGCCCTATGTGCTGTACTATCATCACTCCGCTCCTTTATTATTATTATCACCATCTTTGTTCGATGGAAATCCTTCACCTGTCCCCACAGTTTGCCTTTCTGACAGCTTTGCAATTCTTTACTGGTAAACCAGACCATCCATTTCTCTGGGGCGCCAGGCAAGCATTGCCTGGGGCCGTTTTCATACAACTGTGCTGCAGTTTTCTATTTTCAGATGTGTGAGAGCAATTTCCTTTGGCAAAGAACCCCAAATAATGAACACCTGAATAAGTGAACTGTTTTGTCCAATGGCTAGACATTGTTCTGAAAATTATAGGAATAGCAGGACTGTGTCCCATCCATTTACTCTGTGGAGATCTGATTTGATTCAAACTTCTGGGGGTCTTTGGGAAGAGTAAAGTTTACAAGACCAAATACTGATCCCACTCTCAAAGCATGTGTGCTTGGGTGAAAACTGAGAATACCAGATTGGAGTGGGGGAGCACGCTAAGTGGAGGTGACATTGGGGCAGGGATGAGGTCTCTTGGGCATTTTGGTGTTGAACAGGTAAGGTAATTGTGCATCAAGACCAAAAAATACCAACACTACTGTAAATACATTGCCTTGACTACAATAAACTTTTAAAACCATAAGGCACAAAGCTGTCCATCATGTTTGGCTCAACAGTGAAAGCCTTAAAGCTTAATTAAGTTTGGGTTGTACCATATTCAAGGTAAACTTTGGCAGTGAACACGGCTCTGTTTGCTATGGTGCCATCCTCTCTCTCAGATCTTTGGGGTGACTTGGTTCTTTTTTCTTTCTGACTGAATACTAGGTAATCAGCTTGTATGTTACATTATGTAGGTTGTTGTAACAGGGGTTCCTATCAAGCACAACGAGCAGAGCATAACAAACCCTTTAGTTACTGTGGTACAAAAAAATCCTTCGTGCCTTAAAACATTCAGTTCTTGGGCACCATCTATCTTGTTTGGTGTTACAACACATTAAATGGTTCATGGAGACAAAGTAAGATAACATAATGTGTTCCTGAAACTAATTTTTAAAAAAATAATTTTGGGGGGTGGGGGTTTGAGCATCAGGCTGTGCTTAGGGCTGACTCCTGGCTCTGTCTGTGTTCAGGGTCCCTCCTAGCAGGGTTCACAGGGTACCATAGGAGGTGCCAGTTATCAAATCTAGGGAGGCTGCATGTAAGACTAGCACTACACTTGCACATAATATTTCTCTGGCATCCTCTAATCCATGACTTATATGTTGAAAGAAAGTAGATGACATATTAGAATGCAAGCTTATGCCTGGCCAGGACTTCTTATGAAATACCTACCTCAAACTCAGGCAGGAGCTGTTGAATTTTAAATGTCTGTTTAATTTGATTTGCTTCACCTTCAACTATAAATTAGTCAATTTATGAAAAAATAATCTATTTGGCAAAATTGGGGAAAGAAGTTTTTGTAAGCTCAATTAGGAGTCCTTACTGCTTAAAATTTTGTGGGTCATTAAATAAATTGACATGTAATGTACTCTAAACCTGATGCAAGGGGTTAAATAATACAACTGAATTTCCAAGAAATGACTTCTGTTTCTTGTGACTGGATAAATTCTGTGTAATTGGTCAGAGCCACAATCTTTAGATCTTTTGAACTTTTTAAAACTAAGATACTATCACATGTTTGGCTTGACAACTGAAGTGGTCAATGCATCTTAAGATCAACCTTGAGAGTCTTCTGTAGACTTGAAATCTTTTAATTAAATCTTAAATCTTTTAATTAATCCCATCAACTTATCAGTAATATACATTCACTTTTTATATGGTGAAGTATTTTAGTAATTGAGGAAATAAAAGTACTTTCGAGGAGAGATCTTTAAATTAACATATTATTCAATTCCAGTCATAAATTTGCTTTTTACCCAATGATAAGATGATAAGACGATAGTGATAGTTCACTCACTAGAGCCATCAAAATGTTGCAAGTAAAATGTTAAATTAGTATTTAGAAAGTGCTCAAATCCATTATAGTGGAAGGATTACAGTAATGATATGAAAGCCTCACATCTATTGTTCTCTGCAGGTGAAAATAACAGCAAAGAAAGCAGTATCATTCTGCTAACTTGACTGAGCTTATTCATTCTTAATTTAAACTATTTAGTATTCTGCATATTCCAAAAACAGTAGCGGAATGATGTCTATGATGGGGAGAAAGGAGAATAAAAACATGTCTTTTGAATTTCAACTATCTTATGATAAATAACTTGACTTCCCATTGAAAGAATTTATGGAGAAGACAGAACACCAGAGGGAAAAGAGGGGTCAAAATAAATTAGAGATTTCGGGCTTTTTAAACATGCTATCATCTGTTTCTGATAATTTGAACTTCCATACTTTTTGTTGTAAGCAATATATTCAAATAATTGAATTCCAGTAGAAAAATACTCACTTTTCCCTTAAGTTCTCGGGGCTAGCTTATATTGATTTGTTTCACAAAAAAACAATTTTTATAAACTCGACAAAACATTCAGTGTATATATAGGCAGAAGTATTATGACTGAAACTAGCATAACATTATGGGGCAAGCAGGCATTGGTTTTTTAAAAAATGTATTTTGGATTTAGTATTTTCGTGCAAGGTCAAATTTTGATTAGGGGTCTTCAGAAACAAAATACCTAAATACAATGCAAGATGGTATTAGTTTTCTGCTTTAAATGCATGCATTTTCCGACCATTTTACTTGTTTGTGGTTTTAGGAGAGGGAAGTTGAACAGAAGGCCTGGGTTCTTACACCAGAGTTTATACTCATTTTCTCACAGAATATATATTTTTATGCCCTTTCAGTTCTACTACCTAATTAATAAAATACTTCATAAATGTGATGAATAAAAGAGCTATTCATCAATTGGTCTCGGTATTGAATCGCAATTTAATCATTAAGATGCCCAAGAAAACATTTTTTTTAAAGTAAGTGGAAACAACATGTTAGAAATGGGCTGAATAGCTTTCTTTATAAATATGTACAACTGAAACTAAAACAGAAAGCAAAAAACATCTTTCATTTCAAAAAGTGTTTAAATTATTTTTTGTCATTATTCTTAGGACTTGAAGTTGCTATAGTTAATTCATTTTCTCCCTGTGCTACAAAAGTTTCTAATTGGCTTTATCATGAGCTTATTAAAGCACAGAAAAAACATTACATTTCCCGTTCCCCAACCTTTATTGCTGCAGTAGAGAACAATGTTTTTCTAATTAAAATTGTCAATAAGGAATTCACTACTTACCTTGTCAGAAGGTTTAAATGGATTTCCTTGGCCACTAATTCCACCACTGATGCTAAATCCAAGGCCAGGATTCTTTTCTATTCTCACACAAAACTGTAAAAAAAATATGAAAAGGCAAATCAAAATCATATCAAACTGAAATAGCTTCAAGTAATTGCATTCTGCTAGAAAATACTCACGTTTTAGTTAGGTTCTCAGGATTAACCTATTTTTTTTTTGTTTAAAAAAGAACATGTAAACTTGATAAAGTATTTAGTGCATCAAGCTGCATAAGTTATGATTGAAACTGGCATGAAATTAATGGGCAAGAAGATGTCAGTATCAAGGGGCTTTTAGGATAGTGTACAACTCATCTCCTTGGTAATTCTATTGTTATCAAATAACAGAGTGTTCAGTTTGAGAAAGCAGAGAACTGGTCATGGCTTTGGGGAGAATGAAGCAGTAGAATGAACTGGTCCAAAAGACAAATGTGAGGGTTGGTGGCAACTCTTGGAGAAACAGGAGCTTTAGAAGAAAGAGGGAAACACTGAAACAGAAAGAGGTCGTGTTTACAGAGAACTTGTTAGCGACAGGAACCCATAAATACAAGACGAGTATTCTCGCAGTCTGCTCTCTTCAAGTCCTGAATCATCAATAAGAGTCCATTGGGTCTAGAATACAATAGGGAAGTGATGGAGTTGGGAGGAGGCCTATCTGGCGGAAGGCCACAGCAAAGGTGAGAGCTCTTGGGAAGCATCTAAATAGATTAGAGCAGCTGTTCAGCAGGAGGGGACTCAGATCCAGGAACTTGGAGAAACCCTAACAAACCAAGACATCCCTTACGATCCCTGAATGAGGATGTGGGAATGGGATGAGGCCTTAGTGAAAATGTTTTATCCAAGTAAGTGGGACAGGATGATGCCCAGACAATGGAAAGACTTGATAGCCCAGAGGTAGCACAAACTTTGGGTACAAAATATCCAACTTTTATAACATTAAAGCAGAGAACAAGTTTGATTAACAGGCAGAAGATAAATAAGAAAAAAATGCATTAGCATCTATCTCATATTGATATAAAAGCTCGAGCGGGCCCAGTAACGTCTCCATTGGAGACTTTGTTGTTACTGTGTCTGGCATATCGAATACTCTCGGTAGCTTGCCGGGCTCTCCGAGAGGGGCGGAGGAATCGAACTCGGGTCGGCCATGTTGGCTGCTTGTAAGGCGAACGCCCTACCTGCTGTGCTATCGCTCCAGCCCACATGTGGGAAAAGTTCATAATGATAACCATGAATGTTTACTTTCTTCTGGAAATTTTTGGGACGGAAGGCATGTGATACTGAGAGTAGAAGCCACAGCCTTGCTGTCTCATTTGAGACAAGTCCCTGATGCAGTGCCTTCCTTTTTCTTTTTCTTTTTGTTTTGCTTTTTGGGTCACACACAGAGATACTTAGGCATCCTATGGGATGCCAGGGACCGTACCTGGGTCAGTCATGTGCAAGGCAAATGCCTACCTGCTGTACTATCGTTCCAGCCCCTGCTTTCCTTTTCTATTTTACCTTTTTTCCCCCCTTGGATTTGGGCCATACTCAGTGGTTTTACGGGGCTATTCCTGGCATTTTGCTCTCTCTGGCGCTTGGTGGACCCATGAAGCTGAGCATAAAAAGCCAAAACTTCCACATCCTCAATGCAAAGCTTGCACATTAGCCCTCTAAGATATTTCCCAAACCTCCACTGTTTATTTTTAAGTAGTTGAATGTTTTCTTGCTTAGTAAATTAATTTGCTTGTGGGCAAATGGAAAAGCCCAATTGTTCTCCATATTTTTATTTTCAAAGTACCTTTAATGCTTACTTCTTAGATCAAGGTCAACTTAAGTCTGTTCCTGACTTAATTAGCATATATTATAAGTCAAACTGGGAACTGGATCAATTAAGTTTGGTGATTTAACAGGACTATTCTTAATCCAATGCCATATTTCATAATAGCAAATATAATGTTTATTACACAGTTCACTTGCAGCCTAAGTCCACTATCCACTAATGTGATTTTTATGGTAGTCATTAATGAATAGTTTCAAAATTGTGGGTAACTGCAATTACCATAAGTGTTCTCTCAAATTTTAAAGATATTTTTAATTATAACTTTTACTTTAATTGAGCTCTATTTGTCCGAACTAGTTATCATAGGGTAGTAGAAACCAGTTTATGATAATTTTATATTTACATGGTTCAAAATCTCCGTATGTTCACATACAATAACTTGATAGAGGTGGAAGGAATATTTGAGTCTTGTTTGACATAGCAATTTACCTTGTAACATTTTGCTGATTTTCGCGGTTAATCAGAAAATGCAAAGAGATATGGGGAGATAGCTCTGTGGTGAAAGGAACTGCTTTGCATGTGTTGGAATCTGAATTTGTCCCCCTGAGCCCTGAGACCCCTCACTGGAGGCTCTAGAGCATCACCAGTGTGAGCCTGGAGATTCCCAATACTGCCCCATTGGGTTCCAGCCTGGCTGGGTTGCCTGAGTGTCACTGGAAGTGGCCCTGGGCCCTCAGAGCATGACTTGGGAACCTCTCCAAAGGAACTAATATGATTTAAATATCTCACCTTCTTTTTTCCTTTATATATCTGTACATTTACAAGTAAGCTATGTAAAATATGAGCTTGACTTTCTACTGTGTCTTTTTTTAAAATTTTTAATAGTGAGACATCATGAGGTACAGTTGCAGACTTACACATTTTTGTGCTTGGGTTTCAATTATACAATGATTAAATACCCATCCCTCCACCAGTGCCCATTTCCCACCACCACGGATCCCGGTATCCCTCCCATCCCCCATCCCCCCATCCCACTCTGCCTCTGTCGCAAGGCATTCCCTTTTGTTCTCTCTCTCTTACTGGGTGTTGTGGTTTGCAAAAGAGGCAATGGGTGACAATCATGTTCTGTCTATAGTCCACTTTCAGCATGCTTCTCCTATCCTGGGAGGATCCTCCCAACACCCTTTATTTGGTGCTCCCTTCTCTATCTGAGTTCCCTTTCCCCCTAGCATGCGTGGCTGGCCTCCAAGCCATGGAGTAAAATTCCTGGTACAAATCTTGGCCATTCTTGGGTGTTAGTCTCCTATTTTGTTACTTTATGTTCGCCAGATGAATGCAATCTTTCTATATCTATCCCTTTGTTTCTGAGTCATTTCGCTTACCATGATACTTTTCTCTACTGTGTCTATTTAATATTGTGCAATGGAATGTGTGGGAAGTGTGTGCCCTTCTGGCTTTATTGAGTCCTTATAAATCCCGAAAGGAAACATATGCAACACGTTTTATTCACAAAGTAAGTTGCTGAAAGTATTTTCCTGAGTTCTCTTTCAAGGTAGTGCTTCTTTCTATTTTATATTATTGTCAATCCGAAGGCACTAGAAATCTAAAGGAAACAAATTTCATATGTGCCAAGAATATGAAGAATGGTTTCAATATATTTTTTAATAATAGAAATAATAAAGATGACAGTGTGGTTTTATGAATGTGACAAACAACTATAAATTCTGATCTGCCGCTAGACTACCCTTGGGCATACTGTGGTCTGGCTAACAGGTTGTGTTGTGAATGTTTCATCCCATAAAGCATGTCAGGGAGAGTATTAGTCTCACATATAAGGAGTTCCACCCGTCTGCTAAGGCCCAAAGGGGCCCATAAAAATGTGAGAAGAGAGAATCCCTTCCAGACAAGAAGCTGTCTGAAACTGAGGGTTGTTAGAAAAGAAATAGAGTATTCTAGCAAAAGGTCAGACCAAGGAGGTTAATAAATAGCTTATTTAATGAGAATAATCACCTTGGTTTTCCTTTAAGGTATTGATGTCAACAAATAACATTTCTGTATGAAGATGAAAGCAATAGCCTAGCAGTCAGTGATATAATTATTTATTTACTTTAAGAGATTTCTTCCATCATTTGACTACATTTGATACTTCCAGTCTGTGTTTACCTCACCTAGTGAAGATGCTGGTTCTCAGCAAGACCTCTAGGACAAAATGGAATGTTACATTACTGTTAGGTGCTATCCTATGGAAAGTAGTGATCCGAATTGGTCTAGTAGCAAAAACGAAAAAAAACTGTGTGTGTGTGTGTGTATACATGTGCACTTGTGTGTGTGTATGCATGTGAGTGATATTTATGAAGATTCCTAGGGATGCTGAAGTGAACTTGCTAACTAGGACATACTCTATTGCACACTGACTTCCTAGCAATGAGCATCAGAGTGCTTTAAGAGGCAATTACTTGTTCCTGTTGCCCAATATCTATTGATCCTTTCGATGGCTTGGCTAAACTTCCCGTTGAAGAACTACCTACTTTTCTATTCTCTCCTGCATGCTTTGAGTGAGGCATGCTATCTAGACCTCAGACAAAGTGCTGGGTCCCCTAAAAGAATGATTGACAAAGTGGTCAAAGAAACCAATCAAAACAGAGAGGTCTTCGATGCCCCAGTAAAGTCCCAGGAAAGAGAATTTGCTAGTTTTTCCCTCTTAGGGCTTCCGCAGCTCTGAAGCACCCTCTCTACCATGAGGAAAAAGTCTTTGAGGCAAGATGAACCAGTGGAGAGCAAATGTGAAGTCCATTCAACTCTACTGAGTCTTATCTGAAGTTTGCCATCCCTGGACTTGCAGTTCATGTGACTTAAAACATTCTTTTTTCATGTGTCTTTTTCTTTTTTGGTGGGTATAGGGGGAATGGTGCTGCAAACTGAGGCACACGCTTTGCTTAAGTCTTAGAGGAATGGGTAGCTTATAACCAATAAGTTTAGTAAGCAAAAAAATTTGAAGAGAAACTTGTTTATTTGCACAATCAAAGCACTGGCTTGTCTTCACGTTTAATTGAAAAAAGAAAAAAAGAAAAGCCAATTATACACTACTCCAGATAGAGAAAGCAGCAATTTTAAATACCCCAAATAGGAGCCAAAGTGACAATACAGTGGGTAGGGCACTTATCTTGCATGGGGTCCGACCAGGGTTTGATCTCTGACACAAAATGTATTGTCTCTTAAGCAATGCCAGGAGTGATCCCAGAGTTCAGAGGCAGGAGTTTGCCTGGAGCACTTCCAGGTGTAGTCCCCCATACAAA